CGGTAAATTGTGGACGACTCCAATAGATTCAACTGGCACAGTAGCAATACCACTAAGATCATGTTTTATGGATTTGTCGATTCCATATCCTACGTGCTCAACAATATCAGGTGTTATAATGGGAAGTTCGGCACAAGAGTCCAGTGCCATAGCTGGAATTTTAAGACGCTTAATCTTGCATTTTATAGATGCAATGCTTGTGGTGGGCTCCTTTTTTTTGACGAAATCTATCTCCATGGGTCCATCCAAAACATCCTTTTCATCTGAATCTTGAGCTAATGCAGGTACACACTTTTTAGCCTGCTGAATTATGTACGGAAGATAATTCTCAAATTCGATCTGAATGATTTTGCGAATAGTTTCTTCTAAAGACACACGCTTACCATGCCTATCTTTATCTGATGAGGTATTATGGGTAGAAGACAAATTATTGTCTTGCTTTACCTTACGAAGCTCGGATTTACTAGAGACCTTAGACTTTGAGGATTTATCAGAATACCCACGTCGCTCAGCGTAATTCACTTTTTTTTCCATTTTCATGACTTATGTAAATATTCATATCACGATTTCTGGAGTCTGAACTAGCTGACGAATTATCAGAGTTATAATCATTGTCCTCAGATTTTGATGTATCATCATCAGAAAAAATGGAATCAGACTGGTCATCTACTGTAGCCATATGAACTCGACCACTTCTGGATTTGGAATCTTTAGCGAGTTTAGCCAATAAGGCTTCGATTTTTCCTAATCTTTTTTCTAATCCTCCAAAAGGTAAGGACTCCGAGCGTTGACGCTGAGGTGTTTTGGCACGTCTGGTATTATTTCTATCAAATTTGGCTAAGTGGGCTTCAATTCGTTCTAATCTTTTTTCAATCCTCCATTATTATAGTCTGAGAATTCTGAACACTGATACTGGGCTGATTTGGTATCTTCTCTTACAAGTTTGGTGAGTTTGGCTAAATTAATTTTGATTACTCCTAATCTTTTTTCCAGTTCTTGATTAATATATCTATCAAAGGTTGAAGCACTATTAGAATTAATTACATTTTCTGGTAGCTGTAAACGTTGGGCAAGATTAGAATGCACCTGCATTGATTCTGCTAACTGTGCTTCCAAAGAAGCTATTTTGGAATTTAACTTTTCAAAATTGGCCGAGACTTCATTATTCTGGGGATGTACTTGAGCCGGTTGTGCTAGTTGTGCCTGTAGAGAGGCTATTTGGGAATTTAACTTTTCAATCTCAGCTGATGAATTATTCTGAGAAGTTTGTATCCCATTTAAATTGGGAGGACGCTCCAACCACAAATTTTTCAATTCAGTAAAAAATGCATCAATACTTGCTGGATTTGCAATTCTCATCCAAGTGTAAAGATCACCTGATAATTGACTTTTAAGAAATCCTAAAACCTGCGCATCATTATCTGCCACTCCTAATAGCAATGGTCAAATTCTGGTTTAATATGTGTCAGGAGTATCATATGACTGAAATCTTTCTTGAGTCAATCTTTGAATAGCTGACTGCTGATTTTCAACTGTCTCTCGCTGGTATTTTGCTCTCATCCAAGCCCGTAATGTATCTGGAGAATTTATAGCTGGATTACCTGCTATAAGACCATTATTAGCCGGTACTGGAATGTATTTTCCTCCCATCATAGATTTTAAAATTTTACACTTGTATGCATTGTCAAAATCTCTTGCATTCGCGTTTTCAAGAAGAGTCATATGCCCTTCAAAATGTGCCCAGGATTGTATAACCTTATCTAGGTATTCATCAGGAGGTTCTTGACCGGTATAAGACTGAAATTTTTCAAGATTAGGATTCAATATTTTTAATAATGGTAAACGTCTAAGGTGAGCATTAGCCATGTTTAGTAATGGATTATTCTGAAGCGCCAAAATTTGTCCCTGCAAATTTAAAATATTCTGGTCACAAGCCTGAACTTGATTCTGCGAATTCCTATATTGTCCCTTCCAATTTTGCGCCTGGCGAATGCAACCTGCATGCCTTCTTCTCCAGTGTTCTGTATCATTATTATAGCGCACCGTTAATAAGAATAAAACTGTGCACCTAAGCCATCCACTAAAGATGTTAGCCGTAACTGTAATATTAAGACACAGTATCGTATGTAATAGGTTGCAACCTATCTACATTAAAAAGCAAAAGTTGTAATGCTGTAATTAGGTTGTAATGCCATAATTAGGTCGTAATACTGTAATTAGGTCTTAATGCCGTAACTAATCCGTAATGCCGTAATTCCGAAATTACGTATGTAATTTCGGCCAGAATTATGCACTTAATTTTAGCAGAAATTAACAAATATCCTAAAAAGGAAAGTGTTGTTACACAAAATTCCAGTGACGTTCCCACTAAAATCAATTTTTGTGGAACGGCTATCGCCAAAAAAGGAAAGATCTGCATTCCCGTTTTGGCTGAATTATGATTTTCGGCTGAATTACATGTTTAAGTGAAATTACGTTAATTTCGGCCGGAATTATATTTTGGATTTCGGATTTCGGATTTTAGGAAATATGTGACCGTGTAATTTCAATTTTAAGGGGTAAATAATATCAAAAATAATAATAATAATAATTTTTTTTTTTGTAAAAAAGTTTATATGTAAATTATGTATAAAATCATCTAATTATAATTAAAGATATTATGCTAATTTAATATAAATTTTTTGAAAAAAACTTAATATTTCCCACCCTTAGGGATTTTAGTTCATTATATAATTTTTTTCTTTACACGAACGCGTATACAAAATACAAAAAAAAACGCGACGCGTCTTATGTACCCCCTAAAAATTAAAATTACACGACATATAAACTATTGTAATTTACTTTTATAATTCATTACTTTTATTTTAAATTTTTATGCCATTAAAAATTACGACATTACAGCCTAATTATAGCATTGCGACCTAATTACAGCATTACGACCCAATTACAGCATTACGGTCTAATTACAGTATTACGAAAAGTGTCATAACTGTAATGCTGTATGCTGTAATATTACGGCATCGGCCAATCAATTACGGCTAACATTTTTACCACCCACGTGATTCGAAAAAAAGAAATACATAATTCACTCAATGTGAGTAATTGATTCGCCCAATAATTCTTTTAGGCGGTTACCAGAGAGATGGTGGAACTCATTACTGACTAAGGTACAGGATCATCAAATATCATGGTTCTCGTGAACTTCTATGAGTATTTTATCATGTGTTTAGTGACGTAACATATTTTTCGCCTGATGCTAAATAACCTAAATTGAAGATAAAGTATTTTGGTATATTATCGTCATGGAACAAACCTATTCTGACACTAGTGCTGGTGATAAAATTGAGGTATACGAATTCTTGGAGGCTTTGGGATTATTAGATAATGAAGTCGCGCCCGTCAACATGGATGATGACGACAATAGCGAATCTGACATCGACGAAGAAGATAGTGATGATGATCAGGAGAATTATTGGGACCCTAGGAAAACATATACCGGATGGAATTATAAAAGACGTTTTGGTGAAGATGCTTTGAAAAAACTTTATCAAACCCGGGAAGCTCGTCATCGGAATATTGTACTCATGGAATTTACCAGACGTCTTCCAAATATATCTGAGGAAGAAAAAAATAGATTATTCGATGCATTCTCTAGGTCTAATGCATTTGGGGCGAAAGAACATAATGCACTCTTGGATACGTTAGCCGATCCCGTGAAAGGTTGGGATCTTGATAATTATTGAATGGATAATTCCCGGCAGATTATGACTGTGACGCAATTACTTATACCCGGTCTACATTACGAAGTCTATGCTACAATTGCGAACTTGAATTTATTGCTTGAAGTATTGCAGGTAAGACAATATTCCGTTCCATTCCTATACCATTCACCATGTAATCCATAATTCCCATGTTTTCTATCGCAAATAGGACATGGTGAATTCCACAGCTGAGCAAATGCAAAATTATAATTATCAATCCCTCTAAAATTATTTCGGAATTTAATGCTTTAACACGGATTTGATAATTAACTCTGAATCAGGTTTTGCTTCGAAGGTGATAGGCCCTTTTTCTTCACATTGCTCGGAAAAAGATAAATAGGATACTTTGTTTTCTGGCTTTGAAGTTTCTTCTCCCTATTGCGTTGTCTAATCTCATCACTAATCTTTTTCTTATGCACTTCATCCAAGAAAGCATTTGTTTCTTTATCTTCTAAGGTCGTCTGATCACATTGGTCCATAACAGATATGTTAACAGCTGATACCGATTGCTTTGCAATCACCTCTGGAATTGGTTCTTCAGGTAATGAAGTATCCATTTTCTTATCCACTAACGGTTTCTCATGATGTGTTGCCATGGATAACTGATCTGCAACTGAATTGAAGTTAGGTGAACTGTTATTAGAGGAAGTATCATTTAGCATTTGCCTCTGTTCCACTTTTGTAATTCTATCTTTAAACTCAGCATTCTCAAACTCGAGTTTAGTGGTAACTGTCTTATTTTTCTCTAGTTCCTCGATTCTGGCCTTGAGTTCGGCATTCTCAACATCACGTCTCTTACTCTCTTCCACAGCCTGTCTTAGAAGCTCGGCAATCCTGGCCTTAAGCTCAACTTTCTCAGACTCAATCTCAGCAAACTTCCTTTTAAGATCAGGGATCTCAGCATTCTTGTCCTTAAGCTCAGCATTTTCCTTCCTAAGCTCGGCAATCTCAGCTAAGAGCTTGGAGTTTAATTCTCTCAATGAATCAATGGATTGCATATTTGATAATAATTTTTTATATGAGATGGAATAATTCAAAAGTTCGTTAGCAAAAACGAGATAATATCCTCATCGGAATTACTGATTTATTAATGTAAAAAATAAACTACAAGATTCGGTAATACATAAACTTGTTTTACAAAGTGAAATAGAGTCTCTATACTAATGCGTGTTTCGTTCATCTAAGCTATCTAAGATATCTATATACTAACACATCCCAACATTAACTCTAATCCGATTTCATTTGTCCCCAACATCGATATTCTGGATAGAATAAAATGGTCGTCAGTTATGCATAGTGCAGAGTCAGAAATAAATTAACAATGTTGACCTCACCGAAAGTTTATGTTCTCTGCCTAATAAGGTCCTTGAAATTTCAGAACAAAAAAATAGGTATCAGCTTCGCAAGCTCTGCAAGCTCTGAGTCGCTTCCTCGCAAAAGCAAAAAAATATATTTCATTCATACCTTAATTGCGAAATGTCTTGTTCGTACTTCAATAATTTTTTCGTCAACACTTCTTTCAAACTATGATAGGCCAGTTTCTTTTAACGAGTTCATAATGTTCATGCTTACAAATCTCGAAATCTTTTTAAAAAAAGCATTCAACCCATAAATATTGTCAAAGGGAAGTGCCAGAAATGACGTCATTTAATTTTCACCCCCTCCCCCTTCTGTCAGTCCTTCTGTCATAATCCATTTTAGGAAATATAAAATTATAAACATAATTTTGGTAGGCATTAAGTTTTTACTAATTTCTAAATAAGGAAATCATCATGGACTGGACCCCCCTTAAGAAATGACGTAATTTCTGGCACTTCCCTAAGTAACATCGGACTGAATTTGTATATAATCAGAAAATAGTAAGTTACCTCCACTCTGATTAGTCAAATACGGTCAATCGTACGACCACTCGTACGACCTAAAAATTACGTAATATTAATTCATCTTTTTTAATAAATACTGTCGGAGAATCAAAAATCTAATGAGTAATGATAAAACCGTATTAATCATTTTTTTTTCCGCGTACTGTAAATTTACTTTTTTTTTTTTGCTATGCTTATTGATTTTTTCGTAGTACAAGCTACTAAATCAGAGTTTATCAAGAGTTTATTTACTATTAGTCACGATGTATTCAGAAAAGTATATACTGTATATATACCCTCTAGTTTTCTCAAACCTCTTTTTCTAGTTCTCTTTCTCTAAAATATTTTATCATATTTTATTATTGTTCATCATTTATTTTTTGCTTAACATAGACCTCATTCTGTTGATAAAATTCTATTTTTCACTTGCTATTGTACGCCTTTATACTATCATTACTATTCAGAAACTCCAAAGTTAAATAACCTTGCGTTAAAAGAATAAGAATATTTTTTTTAGCACCAACGCGTTCCCTATAAATTACTATTTAAATCATGGCCGAAGTCATTAACGCTAATTTTCATAACTCTTTGGAAAACTTAAAGTCAAAAAATAAAAAACATATAGAAGAATTAGATATGAAGTGCAGAATTGAAGAAAAAATTCATAAAGTCCTTTTGGCAGACCTTAATAACCAAGATTGGACACGATGTAGAAGTAGCTTTGAAGAGCTAAGTAATAACTCTAAAGAAATTCACCAAATGATGAGAACTCAGAACAAAATTGCCGAAGATACTTTCTCTCTCACCGAAAAGTTCGAAGAGAAAGTACAAATTTTACAAGGGAGAGTAGCATCATTGGAAAATTCATCGGAAGACTCATCCAAAACTAACCGAATTTTAGTTTATGGTGATTGGGTCGTAATACTTATTGATCAAATAATAGTACCACAATTTATGGGTGGTCAGAATGATTGGGATAAAATAGTCAATATTTTCACGAAAAGTATATGTCAAAATACTGATTATTATTTACTTGAGAATGAAGAAGAGGATAAACTCTTCGAACGGTTAGATGAAATCTTAAAAAAAGTTAAAATGACACTTGGAGAGTTTGAATATTTGATTAGATTGAATAAGAAGCGTAATCTTCAATTTCATAAAAATGATCAATCTCTTGATGAAGCAAAAAGACAACTTGAAATGACGTTTCCTAAGGATCTTGAATGCTACAAGGAACCATTAAAGAAAGCTCTTTGTGCTATCGAAGTTAAGTGGTAAGTTATACTTTGTTTATGGATAAGATTTATTTATATAATTAATTTATTAATTCTAAAACTTTTAATTTCTGTAGGAAAAATAATCGAAATGGAAATGGAAATAGAAGATTTAAAAGGAATCAATAACTATGACTTCTAATTTTATTTTGTACATATATTTTATAATTTACTAAACTAATTATTATGTTAAATAAAACTAAGTCCAAAGCGTGGCTAATTTCTTAATGTCATAATGCTTTATCACATGGTTAAAAAAGCTCGAAACAAACATTATACTCTCGCGCCCCTACTGCTATGCTTCATCGCCTCAAGCCATCACTTATAATTTCTCGAGTAATAAATCTCGCAATAAATTTCACAATAAAGCGAAATTTGCACCACGAAACTTTCAGTAAAAGGCTTTTCACACCTAATTTGCTTTACTACGAGATTCTCACCCCCATAATACAGAAATGAGGAAGCAACAGCATTCTCTTGCCAGAAGATCAGATCAAAATCGGAATACCGAACATAATCTTTTTCTACACAAAATAAATGTTCTCACACACATGTATCATTCCCACCAGTTTTGATTTTAGCTAAGTTCGAATCTATAGTATAAATCGGGAGATTAGTAACGAGTTAAAAAAAAGTAATCCGATTCACGTCTCATTTTTAAGACATTCCACTATGCCTCATATTTTATTTAAACAACTGTAATGTCTTCTGCTTAAATAGCTAAAAGCCATCACCATGAACCTTGAGTTTTATGATGTAGCATATATTTAATGTGTTTCTTGTGACACTGAGGTTAACAAGGAGTTTATAACACAATACATATATTTCGCATGACACTGAGTCCAGGGGGAGCAATATACATATATTCCTTGTGATAAATGCTGTATTACTGCGGAGAAGTGTAGTAATCATTATATAAAATAATTGGAGAACCCCTTGGGTAAAAATGTGTAGGTTCTTCGTTAACCTGTTAACATTGTTAACGGGTTTTTGCCAAGAAATTTTTTATTAATACATGCTAAAAATAAATACAAATGTTCGGGACTGTGCCCGTGATACATGATGATTTTTTTTTCTATGCTAATGTTTATACATACGATTATTTTTTCGAAAAAGATAAGACTATATTTATTTTCTGTTTTTACCCGCTTCAATGATTCCTGCGATTCTATCTGGCGATCAAATACCCACTTGATTTGCCCAAACAAATTCTTGAGTTTTTCAAGCATAAGACTTTTCTCAAACACACTCTCGTTAATAGGAAAAGTAAATGGTGTTCGCGAACTCAATAATACCTCAACATTCCCATTATCATTGTCATTACATTCGCCAGTAGTGACTAACTTAATTATGACCCAGTCTACCCCTGTCGAAACGATACCATACATTACATCTTCACGTAAAGCCTCATTGTATGTGCGTTTCTTTTTATTTCGTTGAGAAGAAGCTTGTAACTGAATTGCATTCTGGCCAACACCCTGGTTAATATCCTCCCTTTTAGCCTCGGTAACGACAATAATCGTATCTCCAATCTTGATAACCCAATCCACTGGCCATTTACCATGGCTTCCAGATAACTCATATTCTGGACATACTTTCACTTCTCCATCATATCAAGAGGCTACGCCGTGAAGAATGGATGAAATAAATTCGCGTCTTGTTGCTTCGTTTGCACTAGTTACGTGAATGCAGGTCTTATGCTTCATAGCTATATCTTCCAAAACGTGCTCCAATACCTTTTTGTAATCGGAGGCATCAGCGGAGCCTCCATCGAACCTAGGTAGATCAATATAACTATCAGCTGTTAACCCGAACAATGACTTGATTTTAGGAAACGTCCACGACGAGAATGGTTGTTGTGCTGTAGAAACACAAAGATTAAATCTGTTAGAGTCTGTTGCGTAAATTTCATAAAAAATTTTCTTCACACCTACATGTGTCCACGATAATTGGGAGGTCCACCTTGAATCCTTGAGTCCAGATTATACATGCCAAATCCTCATCATCGACCAAACGAACATGCTCCTTTCCATTCTCACGAATTATGACAATATGCTCGTCTTCAGTTCCATCCGGGAAAGCAAAACGAGTTCGAGGCCTCGTCTTCAAAGCTGACAAGGTTATTTGCCCACGAGTTACAGCCCACAAGAATTTCTCTGACTTACGCCCATACGTTGCGGTGCAGTGAACTTCTTTCGTCTCAACAGGACGCTGTACGATTATATGTATGTGTTCGTCGGCTGGCTGAGAGGGAAAGTGTTTGCTAATCTTCGAAAGAGGTGGAAGTTCCTCACCACCAAGCTCGTCCTTGATATTAACATTTATTTTTGTGTTGACGAGCTCAAGCTTCTTGTTTTCTTCTTCGAAGGAAATGTCGACCTTCCATAACTTGAGTTTATCTGTAGCGAAATTATCGAACTCGGGTGCTTTTTTCTCCTTGATAGCGTCTTTGAGTTTGCTAATAGACTTGTTTATTTCAATATCAACTTCGAAAGCATTTTCATAAGGGTTTTCACCCACAACCAAACAACTGAGTGTGATAGTTGACATAGCGCTTTTATAGGAATATTTCGGTCGGATAAAAAAATAGTGTTACGTTCCGGAGTGAGATTTCTGTTCGGGAATACTGGCGTTAATATAGGTTTTTATGTCGCACAGGGATTACATCATTTCACGTGATCCATTTCTCATATACGTTCGATAAAATAATACTTTATTTATGAAATAAAAAACGTTGCCGGTAGCCGGCCTAACATTACATAAAAATAATTATTAATCTTGAGGGTATATGAGGACATGAATAACACCCCTTTCACCGTTTTCTTGAGGGTAAGGTGGCCTTTCTATGAGAGTATTGATACGCAAGGTAGAGAAATAATTAGAAATTTCTCTTTGTGGAACCATAAACACTCCTTGTCTAATCGCAAAACTGTTTACAGAAGAGACTATGGAAAAATTGGGCTGAAAAAAATTAACTTCATATAGATCGAAGTTTTCTTGACGTAAGTCTTGCCGGACATTTCTGATCTGATCTTTCAGAGCACCAACAGACAAATTATTATCAATTTCCACATCGAAGATGTTATTAACGGTTCCACCACGAAGAAAGCAGTTAAGACGAATGAAAGACATCTTTCCTAAATACAAGACCCATAGTGAGAAAAACTCGCTCCCATACATACATAATTTAGGGCATATACATACCTTATTTTTTTGCGGGAAAGTTGGCTGAACTTCCACATACTCCTACATGCTTTATATCTTGCTGGGAAAAAGTTAAGGAGGTATGTGGCGTAATTAGTATTGTCGTCTGATGCCAAGAGTCCTATGAAAGCGCATGCAAACGGAATTTTCAAACCTTTTCACATGGAGATCTACCGGAGAGACCATTGTTGGTCTTACGCCCGGCGATCTTAAAATTGCGAGTCCCTCAGCCCTTCATAACATATGCTTTTGACGTTAATATCTACTTTTACGGTAGGTCCTGTGTTGCGTGTAGACCTTTTTTACCATTTTTCTCATGATTGTTCGGGAAAAAAAATAAAGAACAAAGGTTAATATGTTTTTCTTTTAGAATATAAATTATGTCGCACAGACCCCGTCCTGTGATCCACATTTTTTGTCGCACAATCTGTGGCTCAGAAAAAAACCTTCCGAGCTGAAGAGGACCAGATCACCGCTCCGGACTATTAAACTTGATTCGATCTATATATCGTGGCATGACATATCAACTTCTCAGATTTTGTAAAGCCTGTCTCATACATGTAAAGAATAAATTCAGATTCAGAATCGCATCTTCTTATCAATACTATCAATACTTTATTTAATGAAATAAACATTGCTGGAAGCGGAATATATCGCTGTTACATGATACGGATATAAAAAATCTTAACTACATACTAAGATACTAAGAATCATAATTTATACCCTCATCAACACCCAAATAATAAGCCGGCTTTGATTTTTCACCCGACAACGTCTTGTGTGTTTCATCAAGAATCCCATGCTTTTTTAAAATCTCGCCATTCTTAAATGGCATGTCGCATACAGCACACCAATTTTCTTTACCTAAAGATTTGACATTGTTAACAAAAATATTATTCTGAATTCATCAGTTGCTGTAAGCTGATGCGCCTACCTTGAACAATAACATGGATGTTGTCTCTAACATTAGTGTTAAAATATTCCCCAACCTCAAACGTTGAATATTGCGCTTCCTTTCCCAAATTATCAACTTCAGATGCACTATAATTTCTAAGTTGCGTAAGCCTCGAATCATTTTGACGGAGTTGCACAGACCATAGCTTGATGCCAATGGGATCAATATTCTGGAATGCATCTGACAATTCTTTTTTGATCTCTTTCTTAAGCTTATAAATGCTTTTTTTCTTATTAATAGAAACCTGGAAAATGGTTCCAGGGGATTCTTTAACGATGCAATTAAGAATAATTTCGTCGTCCATTATTTCGTCATCCATTATTTCTTCATACATAGGAAGGCCCATACTTTCATACGAGTATTTATAAGCCGACAAATTCAATTTCTTCTAGCCCCATTCGGTTAATAAACGTCAAAACCGTCCATCAATTACTACGGTTAATGATAAAGGAAAATTTATATCCCCTTTTGGTATAGCGTTCTCTACGCAAGAATGGAATTGTAAGTCCCCTTTCATAACATATGATTTTGTCGTCAATATTTACTTTTAGAGCTGGTCCTGTGTTGCAACTAGACCCCCTTTCACATTTTCTCACATTCGTTTGGGAAAAAAAATAAAGAATAAAGGTTAATATGTTTTTCGAATATATATGCAAAAATTATTATGTCACACAAGACCTGACTGATGATCAGCCTATTTTTGTCGCACAATCTGTGGCCCAGCAAAAATCTTCCGAGCTGATGATCACTGCTCCGGACTACCTTCGCTCGGGTTAGTTATCCAATATATGCCTCTCAATAAGTATTGTACCCCATTCGGATTAGCAATATCGGACTGACTAATATAATCTTTAAACCCAGTTATAATACCAGTCACTGATTCTTTTTTCGCCTGAATAAGCATTTCTACCAATTCACGATAATAAATATTTTTTGCAATACATCTCATATTTTCTCGTGTTAATCCACTATAGAATTCACTTCTAAAATGACCTTTACAGAGTTTGATGATATCATTACTTTTCTTCGCCTTTAAACAGTAATCCACTATTTATTCTTCACCTTGAATAAACAATCTACATTGGAATTTCTCAATACCTTCCGGCCATATTTCCCATCGAAGTTTATGCGGATAATATGGCAATTCTATCAGACTCAAAATATGTGGAAGATAGAAATCATCGGATTGTATAAATACATGGAATAATGATGATGGATTTTTTACATTTGGCATATTATGTACAAATTGCTTAAGTGCTTTCTCTTTCCAATTCTTAACTGCCTTTGTCTCCCATTAGGTTTTGATTGTGCAAAAAAGGTCGTCCCAGTATTTCCACTCATCGGGATTCCTTTCATTATCCCATTCATATCTCGATCCATATTCTTTGATAAATTCATCGTAGCCTTCTTCTATCTCGGTATCTATCTCGTCATCTGACATTTTGCTAGTAGATTGATTAAATATTTTCAATCGGAAAAATAGGTTAATCATTGCTTGTTTCTGTCGCACAGGAGTACATGCATTGTGGCTCAGCAAAAAAAAAATCTTCTGAACTGGTGATCACTACTCCGGATTAGTTAGATCGGTAGACTACCATCGGCTAGTATTCTATTCTTGGTGATCGTCTGTTAGGTTGCCGGTATATCCAATCTAAAGCCTGCGCCATAAATAATGCTTATTATATGTTATATCTTCAAACAAAAAAAATCTTCCGAGCTGATGATCACTGCCCGGGTTGATGATCAGTATTCCGGATCAAATCACCCTCCATTCTTCTCAGTTCATCGTTAACATAATTATGTACAGACATAATATCTCTTGGTGCGTCAACTGACATTCTCAGTCTCCTTAACAGTTCATACATCCCGGGATATGTATCAAAATAGGCTGGTATTATGGTACAAATTCTCAACATGAATATTTGGATTAAGTGAAATGAGTTGATCTATGGCTTCTTTGCTAACAATATCACACCCTTCCAATTTGAGATACTTTAAATTAAGACATGAACTACCAATTTCTTTAATAATCTCATTAGTAACTCCGCAATAACTAAAGTCAAGATGTTGAAGCCTTGGGCAAGAATGGATAATATTACAAATCGATATCCAAGTAATCTCTGTGCGATAAGAAATATTTAGATATTCTAGTTTGAGACATGACCGTGCAATTGCACATAGACCTTTATCAGTTACTCTCCTACCATTAAAGGTTACGAACCCACTCTTTTGCAAATTGAGATACTTCAGATTGGGATATGTCTCTGCTATTCGATTTAGTGTTTTATCGCCAAACCCTGTGCTAAAATTTAAATCTAAATGAGCTATATTTGGGAATATGCGTGAAAAGCCATTGAATTTTTTATCTGAAAGTGGATAGTAGTTCGAAATTTCTAGATGAGTTAGATTTGAGCTATAAACTGGCTTTTGCCTTTTACATACTATTTTCATAAATTTTTTCAATTGAGAGTGGCATTTATTCTTCCACTTTAGCTCGATGCGTTTCCATAAAATAGGAGCACCGCATCTGTACCACAATCAGGAAACAAATAACGCAGGATAGAGGGATTTACCTACCGCTAGGAAATATAGAATCCGCTCTAATAGTTCTGGTAAATTTATAACACCTAAATGCACCATAAATAATATATGCTGTATCTTTAATCGAAAAATGTGATTCTACACCAATGATCACTGCTCCAGACTATTGGTTGGACCGGATTTGACTTCGATATGGGAGGATCACAAAATTATCGTCTATTGTTAGTGTCAAATTACACATATTTAAGCGTACCCTATTTTCTCGCATCCATGGTGAGCCCAAAAGTATTTTAGGAAATTGATCAGGCCAATCTGGTCCAGTAACTATAAATTCAGTGGGTATTATTTTATGCTTCTCACAATCATTTAAGATAATACGTAGATTAACCTTTCCTAATGTGGAATAAGACTCATCTGGAAACCCGTATACTCTAGGAATACTATTGTCTTTTGCGTATGCTATTTTCACAATTTTTTCACTAATGAAATTTGCATTGGCGCATATGTCAATCCTAAATCGAAAATCTGTGAGAATTACCCTTTTGGGCCATTCAAGATTCACCTCTCTTTCCCATATATCATTTATACCGCTAGCATGTTTTAGATCTGGAAGATACTTTAAAATAAATGATATCAACTCTGGCGGAAGAAGCTCAAGTAAATTCAATTCATGCATTTTTATATGATAGAAGAATTTTCAATCGGAAAATATGGTTAGTTATAACATGAAGTGATAACTAGTTAAATCAGACTTTTTGGATCAGATACCTTCTTGGCTTCGCCTTATTGTCAGATTTTCTCTTCGCGCATATTATTTTGCCTGGATCCACTTTCTTTTCTGGTGGCGCGTGATCAGAATTGAATTCCTCAGATGAACTGGACTCGAACGAAGTATTTATGGATTCTTTACTACAATTGCAATGTTCCATAGTAAATGGTTCGTCTACATTATCATCCAGCCACTTTACACGTTCTTCTAGTAGTTTAACTCTCTTTTTAAGCTTTCTATGCCAAGAACAATAATGATCCATCCTTTTTGCTAGTGCTCTATTTTCACTGGAAAGTACACTATATACTTCTGCATTTTGCTCATTTAGTCCAAATGCCTGGGCTAATATTTTCGTATATCTAATAACTTCCTGCTCGCTAGCTATACTATCGGATGAATGCTTTTGATCGGCTATCATTTTCGTGATGTATTCTATATGCTAGATCTTGACTTGAACGAAAAAAAATAAAATTACGCACATTGATATCCCAACTCGATCTCTCTGGGATTCCTCTAACCCTTATATGTGAATAATGTGATTAGTTTTCATCGAATAACATGAATTTGTTTGCTTGATCGTAAGGCATTCCACGAGGTCTGTAATTTACTATAGTATACCTCTGCGATGGCGCAGTGTTATTTTTAGGACTATGTCGAAGTGCTTGACTAGCAATAGTATTAGCTTTCGATAGATTCCTAACCCACTCGCTACAACTGCAAATACAGCTCCTAAATTACGTAAGGAACTAGGAAGTAAAGGCTTACCAGTTTTGGGAAGAAATTCAGCTTTTTTCAGAAACCTACTCAAGATTCCAGTTCCAGGCGTCCCCAGGTCTCCTAACCGTCCAGAAGATATTGCTTCCTGAATCCATGTAAGCAATTGCTTTGCCCGTTCCTCATTCTTTTCAAGTGATCTAAACACTTGAGGAATATCCTGTTGATCTTGGTTTTTTACATATCCTGTTACACCTCCATTAGATATACGCAAATCTTTAATAGAGTTCCGAATGGGTCAGGTCAGGTCAGGTTAATTGATAAACCTGACCTGAAATTTTTTTTCAGGTCAGGTCAGGTCAGGTTATATCAGGTTATCTGTTTGACCTGACCTGAACTGAAACCTGAAAAATTTCAGGATTTTTATTAAAATATCAATAAAATGGTATAAAACATTTTTTTTGAAAATATTGCGATTTACTTTTTCATATTAAAATCATATAAAAAGGTGAATCACAATACTGCAATTCACTTTTTTTATATAGAATTAATATAAAAAAAGTGAATCGCAATACTGCAACTCACTTTTATTATATAAAATCAATATAAAAAAGTGAATCGCAATACTGCAACTCACTTTTATTATATAGTAGAATCAATAGTTTCAGGTCATCAGGTCAATCAGGTCAGGTCAATCTTCATACCTGACCTGAATTTTTTTTAAAAATCTCATACCTGACCTGAATTTCAGGTCAGGTCAGGTCAGGTTACCTGAATTTGGCTGACCTGTTCGGAACTCTAATCTTTAATTTCAGCTGGACGAATACAGAGCATAATCATTACATCAGCTAGGGCCTGTTTGTCAGGTATATTAGATACATCATACGAATCCAATCTCTTCTTAACCGATTCTAACGAGAAGTGGTCCGGATAATGAATTCCTTCATCTTTGCATAATAAACTCTTCTCCCTTTGGATTTTATTCGATAAAGTGGTTATCCCTGGAATCTTCGTAGCTTCGATTATTGCCTTTGGGGCATTAAGCTTCCGCAATTCCTTTCGGAGCCTACTGAGACTAGATGTGCAGGCAACTGGATTAGGGGATGTTTCAGCTAATGCTTTAGCTATAAGTTTTACTTCTTTTTCACTAAGGCTATCCCGCATAATACGCTGAGCCATTTCTCTAATGATTTCTCCTTCTGGGATAATATCTGATACTTGGCAGGCGCTTTTAGCACAGCATATATTCACTTCCGCTTCTGCCCCTCCTTCTTTGGGGGTTACTTGACTTTTAGTTTGACCAGTTCTTTGAGAAGATATCAACGCAAATGCTTGTTCTTTACTAAAGTTATATCCTTTTTGAAGATGATCGCGAGCCTGATGCCTTTTCTCTCTATCAGCTGGTAAGAGCTCAAGTATTTCTGGCGCATACTGGCTAAGCTCTTCGAGACTCATTTCATTGGTGAGTTTGTGGTCTGTAACGAACTTGGTTGTAATAGCAGACATGTTGTGGTAAGTAGACTATGGTGGTAGTTAGATTAATCTGTGGTATTCAGATTATATATTGTGGGATAAAGTTCAATTCGAAAAAAAATAAATAATTCTCCCTTGTCCAAGGACTGCGGAAGAGGGTCGGAGGGGTTTCAGATGAACAAAAAAAAAAAAAAGAATATTATAACTTCTGCGGGCTCTCTATGATGCCACGAGCTCTGGCCGGAATAGCTTTTATATATATTTGAAAATTGCGGGTAGATAGGATATATGAAAAAAATAATAATAATTTGGGATTTTATATCGCCTAATTGTAAAAAACGAAAGTCCCATCCCTACTAATATTTCATAACCCACTCCTATTCGCTCTTTACCAAAGCATACCATTCTCCTGGAGTATGCTTATATTTTTTTGCCATTTCTCATCATCGTAAACATACTCCCGGGGCTTTCCCACATCTTTGTACTCCCAGAGATATATTTCTTCGCTTATTAACCTTTCCCTTCTAGTCATGTAAAATAAATCGTTCAGGTTCATTTTGTTTTCTTTCGCAAAATCGATCACATCTGCATCTGCCATCATCCTGTCTCGATATTCTCAGGATAGGTCAACATCTTTCTCTGTGATAGTCATGAATATATCTGGGTCTTCACCGTGATCGATAGCCCATTTTCTGAGATGCTCTTCGCGCTGTTGTCTAGCCGGGAATGTGGAAGAAGCTTTTTTATTGCTAGGTTCAGGTTTATCTATTAGTGGCTCAGGTGATTCAGAAGTCTTAGAACTCTCGGATGTCCCAGATGTTGAGGCGATTGGGGGTTCCACTTTCTTATCTGGCTGAGGCGAGATTATTTTTGGAGGAATTATTTCTGGCATATTGAATATGGGTATGTCTGTGGCCTTGTTTGTGGGTAAGTCAGCTTGAGATATATCGGAAAATTCTTTGATATCACCTAGGCCGTGTTCACGAAGCTTGGCTATGATTTTGGAGTGGTCGAGGATATACTGCCACTCTTTTTTTCCGCCTTCCACTTGTACTTGTTTATACTCAGTAATATTTTTCTCTGATAGCTTCTTACCGAAAATGTTATTAGGTAATGCCTTTTAACCATTATCCCCACACCATTCAAGATATTTTTGGTATAAAAATGCTTTGCTACTGGTCCTGATTTCACTACTCTCAGCCCAAGATGCAATATGGTCAATTATAAATCGAATGGGATTAGAAAGCTGATTTCGCATTGTTTCTACCTTCATTTTAGTTGGTGGAATCTTACGTGGCTTCCATCCTGAAAGATTAAGATTAAGCAAATATGTCATAAATGATCCTGGCGTATCAGGGTGCTCAAGAATTCCCCCCAACTGATCGAAATATGTGAAGTTACTTTTACAGCAGGGAGAAACATCTAAATATACAATACGTCCATCCCCCATTTCCACTCGAATTGGGGTATCATGATTACTTAAAACCATAAATCTGGGATAATGACCACACTCTTGAAATTCTAATCCCTTACGCTCAATCGAGACGTAATCTTCTGTAATAAGGGTAAGGATGGTCATCGGTCCTACCGGTCCTACTCGGTCCTGGACCGGTCGGTCCCAGGACTTGTAGAACTGGACCGCGGTCTTGCATTTTTTTGTGGCGCAGTAGGACCGGTCCTGAGGACCGACCAGTCATCATACCGGTCTTCATATAATAAATAATTTTTATATTGAATAAACCTATTAATCTGACAAAGGTCTTCATAAAATAATATAAAGACCAGCCATTTCCAAACCAATAAATAATGACAATCACTCTTCCCACTTGTAGAGTTGCTTGTCAAAA